ACCTCCTGGTCCCCCCCGAGGTGAGGGGCTGGCTGCTGAGTGGCACAGCCCCCCGACCCAAATCTCCTCCAGGAGCCCAGGACTGCTCAGCACTGAGCAGCACAAACCTCCCTGGGAACACAGCTCCACCCGGAGTGACTGAATGTCCAGGGGGAAACAACACACACCTGCCCTGCCACATCCCTTCACCTTCACCTGTGGCACCAGGGGAGCCTTCAGAAATCATCATTTTAAGCATGAAGGTAAACCAGCCATGAAAATCAGATCATTGCACAGAGAGCCTGTGGGCGGGCTGTACTTGCCTGCAAAGCCTTGGTGCTTTTAACTGGAGACAAGGAGAGGAGTTAGTCTGTCTCCTCCTGTGCTTATGTCTGTCTGAGGCTCACATGTGAGCAGGATGTTTTGCACTTCACCACTTCTTTGTTGTGACTCTCAAACAATTTCCCACTGAAAACCAACAGGCTTGCTGTTGGCATCTTAGTAGAGAAAATTAAATCCAGCATTTCAGTATTATCTGATTTCACATCCCTGCACATCATTGTATAATTTCACCACCTACTCGTTCTTTTTCTTCACACACAAGTGCATTTAGAGAAAATATAATTGTTGAACGAATACTTAGTCAGAGAAAGGTTGTAATCAGCTTGGATAGAAATCAGACAGCTTATTCACTTGAAAAAAAAGGGAAAGGAGGAGGAAATGAAATGGAATAATTTCTTTCCTGTGAACTTAGGGCACCAAAAAGTTGTATGGTAAACTATAACAAGAGAAGAAAAACAGTTTAAAAACTTAGCAGGCAACAGTATTCCTGAGCTATTGCACTGAAAATAACATGGAATCAAAGATCTGATCCATTTGATGTCTTCTGTGTTCATTAAAAAAGAATTTAAAAGTTACAACTAAAGACTCACGAATTTTTCCCAGAGCAAAATAACTGGATGTCCCCTGTAAATCATCAGATATATCAACACTTACCATCAGATAGCAGCAACTGAGTCGTGCTGGGAGAACATGCACAATGCAGACACCTAAGATCAAAACTGGGATTTGAAAAGTTGCTCCATACTGTCTAATCCATCAAAATACTCAGTCCTAGGAAAGAGGACAAGTCTGGCACTCTGCTGAACACCTCGGGCACTGAGCTTAGGGAGTCTGTGAGTCCATCCTCTCAGGCACCTTCCTCCAGCTAACTTGCTGTGGGGCCAGCACACGCAGCAGTCCCAGGCCAGTACCTCACTCTGCTGGGGGCTGCAGGCAGGTGGCCCAGTGGGGACAAGGACAGTTCCTAATTAAACAGCATGCAGAAATGCAAACACCCCCAGCGAGACTGGATGTACATCAGGAGCTCAAGTTTAACAAGAGCACATGATCACAAGTGTTAGGACTAGCACCCATATTTATTTTCCTTGACTATGTATTATTATTCTTTCTCATAGACATTTTTGCCTTGGGGGTGTTGGTTGATGAGAAGTTTAACATGACCCAGCAATGTGCACTCACAGCTCAGGAAGCCAATCGTATCCTGGGCTGCATCCAAAGCAGCGTGGCCAGCAGGGGGAAGGGAATTCTGCCTCTCTGCTCCACTCTGAGACCTCCCCTGGAGTGCTGCATCTTATGTCCAACATGAGAAGGACATGGACCCGCTGGAACAACTACAGAGGAGGACACAAAGCTGATCAGAGGGCTGGAGAACCTCTGCCATGAAGGCAGGCTGAGAGTGGGGGCTGTTCAGCCTGGAGACAAGAAGGCTCCAAGGAGACCTTAGAGCACCTTCCAGGGCCTAGAGGGAGCTACAAGAGAGCTGGAGAGGGACTTTTGACAAGGGCATGTAGTGATCAGACAAGGGGGAATGGCTTTAAACTGACAGAGGTAACATTTACATTAAATGTTAGGAAGAAATTCCTTACTATGAGGGTTCGGGGGCACTGGCACAGGTTGCCAGGAGAAGTTGTGGATGGCCCATCCCTGGCAATGTTCAAAGACAGGTTGGATGGAGCTCTGAGTAACCCAGTCTAGTGGAAGGTGTCCCTGCCCATGGCAGGGGAGTTGGACTGGATAAATTCTAAGGACCCTTTCAACCCAAACCATTCTATGATTCTATGATTTATGCAAGTGTGACAGCCATTTAAAGCCTAAGACATTATGCAAATATAATGAGCAAAACTTTTACAGTTTATTTCAAGTATGAAATAAGTCAGGTTCTTCAGCACTTCTTGAGAGCAGGATAGTGTGGTCAGTCCTCTACTCCAATAATTTTTTGGTTCATATTACTTTCACAGAAATAAGAGAAAGCCCATCTGGGGAGAAGGTCAGGTGCTGGTGTAGGGCAGCTGCCTGCCCACGGGAGGATTCACCTCTGACTTACACATCATCACCAAATATGTGCCTGATTGCCATGTGCATCTGAAGAGCCACCATCTGAAACCTCTTCCAGTGCTCCACAATCTTTCCTGTTACACAGCTCCTCCCTAGTGACTAATCTAAATATTCTTTGGTTAAATAAGTCTATTATTTTCTTGTTCTATTCACCATGAACACAAAAGACACTGAAAAGATGAAAGGAATAAATTGTTCTCTTTGTGTCTTGAGACTTGTATTTCCTTATGCTGTTCTGTAAGCAAAATTACTCAAACTCAATCAATCTTCTATTTCTCGTTCTCATATACTTACATTATCACGCTTTCTAGATTTCTATTAAATCTCATTGCTCTTCTCTGAACTGGTTTTTCCTAACAAGCATGACATATAAAACTAGACTTGTTATTTCAGCTGATGCCTCTCCAGAGCAGAACAGAATGAGGTATTTTGTCATATGGGTGATACAGTCTTTATACCTCTCTATGTTTCTCTTCATTTTGCAGGATCACTGTGTTGTTAGAATGGGTCACAAAATGAATGCCAGACAACTACCTGACCTTGTTCAGCTATGTTGACCTTTAATTCCTCTCTGTTCTGTTTGCAAAGTTTCCTGGTTCTGTCCAATTCCCCAAGATGATTTTGAATCCTATTTCTACCCTTTAATATGTTTGCAACCTCACCTGTCTCAACATGAAACAACAGTGTCTCTTTTTCCCTCCTATATATCCTGCCTGAAACAGATCACAAAGCAGTCACAAAACCTTGTCCATATGTACCCTGCAATCCAAAAATCTCTGTTTATGCTCTTTTTATTCTGAATCCCTCAATAAAAAAGAAAAAGACACACAGTCATTTGTTTGATGATTTTTTTTTTTTTAAAAAGCATATTTTTACTGTAAGGACTGGTTAGAAAATACAGAACAGTGAAACTTCAGACCCTCTTTCCCACAGGGACATGCACCTATGGTGTATTTGAAAAGTGTGTGTGCTGTGAAAGTAATCTCTACTTATACAGAGTTTTAAAACTGATTCATAATTATGTTTAAGACAGTGCTGAGAAATAGGAAGACCCATCCAATGTTTTAAGAACAATTCTTTTCCTCTCTAACTTGTTTTTCATTTTTACATTAGGAGAAGCAGGATTTGAACCTGTGTTAGAAACAGCTCTATATTTCAGTCAATGAAAGTAAGTAGTTATTCCATGTTGTTTTGCAAAGTATTTCCTCTTCTTTCAGTTTCTAAATTTGACTATAAAACTCTGCTTACATCAGAGTCCCACAGCTGGAGAACACAGCACTCTGGAGCTTGATCCAGTGCACCAAAGCTGTTGATTCCTACTGTCCTGACTCTAAAAAGTGTTAAGGGGTGAATCTGACATCCACAGGGATGAAGTTACTGCAAGCTTTGGTAAAAATGTTAAAGCAAAAAAAACGGTTGTCCGGTACTTTGATTTCTCATTGAAGTAAAGAGGGGAACTAAAACCAATGCAAAAAATAGATACAAATTTAAATTACAAATATTCCTAGTTCCAATTCTGTCATTTATTCATATGATGGCAAATAGAAGCCCACTTTAAGGCCATTTTCCCACCTTTTTAATTTAAACTTTTAGCTGCATTTTAAGCAACCAGCAAGCTGGGGTAAAGTTATGCAATGATCTCACTCTGTTCAGCTATGCTGGAGCCACAGCAGTGCTAGTTCTGCTCAGTCATACCAAGGTAAATACAACCTTTGCTCACACTGGCATAAATTCTTCACTCTGTCAGAGGAAAGAGACAGACAACTGCCCAACTCTAAGGAGGTCCCTGGGGTCCAGCAAGGTATCTTGGATAACTGGGACCAGGAACTGTTCTGCTTTTGTGGATTTCAATTGGAATGGAAAGGTTCCTGGTGACTTAAAGGAGTTTGTCCCGAACAGGAATACCTGTAAACATAATGATAACTCATAGAAGATCTCTTGTGCAAGAAAAAGGGGAAAGGGGCTCATATGGAGCAAAAGAGAAAATCAAAGAGAGCAGTAGAAATGTGCATCAAAAGGATGCAATACCTCAAAGCAGGTGAAAATCTTTGAAAAAGACCTTTCAGAGAGTTGAAGCAGGTGAAGCAACAAAGCATTTTTGGTCCCAGGAGATGCCACGCATCCTAAATACAAAGTGTTCTCACAGTGACATGACTAGTTAGGATTCTGTGTAAAAATTCAACTTCTGACCACAGAGTTCCTTATGCCATTGCTAATGTCATTTAGACACAATTAATTAATATTTGGCAGCTCTGAAAATACTCTTGCTTCATGTGGTCTTGAAGTAATAAAGTTTGAAAGAGTGAAAATATGACATTTGGTTCCTAGCAAAGAGTCACAGAAAGACTCTTTTAGACTCTGAAAATTACAGTTTTACATTATTTCACTAAATGCTGTGTGCAAACAAGCCAGTTCATTATAGTGGCACAGATTATTTCCATAACTAGAAATAACTGGTGACCTGAAAAAAATCCACAATCCATGCAACCCAACACTGAGCTGAGTTGCAATTGTCTTATGAGCTGAAGGAATACTTCACTTACAACACTGAAGCTGTTGATGAAATAAGTCAGTTCCTGACTGGGGAGGAGGAACATTTCCCCCTGTGCTAAGAGTCCAGAGCTTCAGATGTACTGCTCTTCATCCGCTCCGTTTATCAGCAATGACCACTTGCCCCCTTCCTCCTGGATGAACCCATTGCGTCTCGGCAGCCTGTCCGAAGCCAAGGAAGAGAGGGACACTTGGCTTGTCTGATCCCAAGGAGATGGTTTGGAAGAGTCCCTCCTCCTATCGTCCATTCCAATGTGAACACTGATTTGAGAAGGGGTGAGTGGCTTCATGCGGCCTTGAGCTTGTGCTTCGTAACTCTCCGTGTCTGGCTTCTTGTAACTAAGAAGAGAAAGAGAAAAGATATTAGCAAGAGGTCAGTGTGTAGAAGCATCTGGCGCTGGAACAAATCAGAAACTTCTGATAACCTAAATGTATTGAAAGTGTTTATATAGAAAAAATAACTTTATAGCTTAATTGCATATGTTTAAATTAAATTTCCTAATAGCTCAGAAACAATTAATTTAAAATGTGTGGTGCAAAGAGTGTAAGGATTCTCAAAAATCAGTTACAAAATAATAATTTTTATTACTGCTTGAATTTTGAGACTGACAATTCTCTCAAGCCAAGACAAGCACAGAAGTATAAGGAAGGATGATGGGGAAATGCAGAATACTCCTCAAGATGTTTCTGGTCTGAGCTTTCAGTCATTCAAGACCACATACCACTGATTAAGCACTCTTCTGTTGCATTTAGGGACATAGTTTAGTGGTGGGCTTGGTGGTGCCAGGTTAAAGGTTGGACTTAATGATCTTAAAGGTCTTTTCCAACCCAGATGATTCTATTATTCCATGTACAAAACTGTAATACAGCTTCCAGAAGTCTGAAGCCAAATATTTTTTAGGGGGTTCTCAATATCTACCATTACTTTACTTGGTATTGAACTAGATCTCCACCACATGGGCCCAGGTGACATCCAGTCACACTTTTAGCTGTTAGTTAAACCATACTGCATACTGTCTTATTCCAGGTAAGTTCATAATAGTGACACCTGTCTCTTTTGGAGCCATGGACTAGACAGAACAACCCCAAGCTCATGGACTTTCAGGTACTTTTAGATGTAGTCCCAGCCTCAGTAGTGTCCCAGTTCCCCAGCTGATAAACACAAGATAACTTGCCACTTCAGCTGCAGTGAAGACAGAAGGACAGACACAGAAGAAGCTGCCATTGCAGCTGATCCCATCCAAGGCTGAAGCACGAGGCCAACAGGCATGAACACACCTAGGAAAAAAACATATGGACATGAGCCAGAGCTGCCCATCCCAGCACAGACATTTCCACCACTGCATAGCATAGAACAGATCAGCAGTTCTACAACACAACCTGCTGAGACCTCCAGCTAGATCAATATATGTATTTACTCACTCATTACTGAACATGTCCCTTCCATTGCAAGGAATGACCTTTGCACCAATACAGGTACAAGACTGCAGCCACAGGGCAAGACTACTTGTCCCTTCCAGATATTCTGCACATATGAAACACAGCAAAGGCAACAGAAAGACAGGGAAGTAGTACAGGAAAAGGAGGGAGAAGTTACTCATAAACAAAACAAGGAATACCTGAAATAAGTTTTAAGTAGGAATTTAGAGCATGAGAAAATGTCTGACAAAGGCATAAAAAATACAAGCAGTAGGAGAGAAAATGTGTGATTCAGGGCAAATAAAAAAGGGAACACCCAAAAGTAGGATGGTACATCTGATTAGAGCTGGGTTTGAATATACAGGAACTAATCCCCAGGTAGTGCTATAGGAAGTAGGAGCATAGTTTTCATTTCATCAACAAGTATTTATTCCTAAGAGGCAAGCAAAGAGAAAAACAACAACAACAAAAAAGAATGTATTGATTTCACCCTCCTTCTACCAAGTTTTAAATAATCTAGCAACCGGTCTTTGGTTCCTGGAGCAGGTAATCAATCCTATAAGAGGCACCACAGAGATCAACTGTGCTGCTGTCTTTGACAAGCTGAGCTCTTGCAGTCACATACCTGCTGCTATGGGTATTCCAAGCAGATTATAAATTAAGGCAAGAATCAGATTTATTCGTATTCTTCGAACTGTTCTCTTGGATAAGTGAATACTGGCAACTACGTCCAGCAAATCATTCTGCAAGACAGAAGAGCACTGAAAGTTTTCCACATGCAGTCTTCAGAAAACTAAACTAAAATGAGGAGTGTGAGTGATAAAAGAGGACAGGCCAAAACTGTAGTGCTCACTCGGATAAGGACAACATCTGCAGCTTCAATAGCAACATCGGTGCCTGTTCCAATTGCAATTCCAACATCGGCCTTGGCTAGTGCAGGGGAATCGTTGACTCCATCACCAACCATTGCAACCTTCTTCTTTCCATTTTGGAGCTCCTGGACTTTTGCAACCTTGTGAGAAGGAAGAACCTCCGCAAAGACTTTTTTGATCCCAACCTACATACAAAAAAAGACATCCCATGCTGGTGACATGCTTCATGCTGGAAGGAAGAGCCATTTGCTGTTCTAGGTGAAGGGCAAACAGGAATATCAACTAAACTGATTCTGGTGAAGTCAACATCTGCAAGGTACACAGAAAACTGCAGAGCAACACACCTTTGGCATAAGAACAGGATTGATAACAGCACCCTCCTACTGCAGAGATGCTGGCAAACCATACTCTGCCCTTCACTTCATGCCCTGCATGGCTTCAGGAGCTCCACTGGCCCAGCAATAATGATTTGTCTTTGAAAAACCTTCAGGGGTGATGACTCCACCACTTCCCTTGGTCCTGCTTGACCGCTCTTTTGCTGATCCAGGCCAGGATGCCATTGGCCTTCTTGGCCACCTGGGCACACTCTGCCTCATGTTTGGCTACTGTCAAGCAGCATCCCCAGGTCCTTTCCTGCTGAGCAGCTTTTCACCCACTCTGCCCCCAGCTTGCAGTGCTGTAGGGGTTGCTGTAACTCAAGTGCAGGACCTGGCACTTCACCTTTTTGAACTTCACACAACTGGCCTTAGCCCATCAATCCAGGCTGCGCAGATCCCTCTGCAGAGCCTTCAAGCAGATAATGCAACACACAAACCATGTATGATCAAGCAGTTACAGCAGGGGAGACACAGAGACAACAAGTATGTGCAGGTCTCAGGGAGATTATAAAAATAAAGCAGATGGCTGGCTAAATTATTCTACCCATCCACATCATAATTTATGTGGAGTTGCTAGCAATGGCTCTAGTGTTGTAGTTGAAAAACAGACGACTGTATTAGATAGTGTTGGGATAATGCCCTTTGGCTGCCTCACCAGGAAGAAGCAGCTTTTCATCACATAAGATAGAAGCTCTCTTTTAACCTTTTAAAAAGTAACATTTAAAATGTTTTTTAAACTGTTCACTATTTCTTTCCATTAGAAAGTACATTCCAAAATTTTAATGAAAATGTAGGTTGACACAAACTAAGCTTGTTTAAAAAATTCATCTGTGTTCCTGGAACCACAAATTCAAACTTGTTTCTGAAATGCTTTTTTCCCTTGACGAAGAAAATTGGGTGGGAAGGCACTTTATCATAACTGAACACAAAAACGAAAGTGTGAAAGAAGGAGGATTAAAGCATCACACAGAGAAACAAAACAGACCTCAGAGCACAGAAGAACATGCATACCACAGTGCTGGCTGAGTCAGCTGTGTGGTGGGATACCTGAGGAGAGCAAAGTGGCACATGGTAAGATTAGAAGTAGACCAATGCAAAGGGAAAGAGGAAAAGAAAGATCGAGAGGGTGGAAACATAGTGAGGTAGAGTGAGAATCTGACTTTTCATTTATAGTTTGCAATGGGGAAAAATCTCATATAAACCCAACCTCCTTCAGACTGCTATGCTTCTTAGCAAAAATTCATATTGTTATGTTACCCTTTAAGACAATGAAAAATCCACACTGTGGATTGCCTAACTGGACCTTCAAGGAACTTTCCTTCATCACTAACAAAACAGTCTGCCTTTCAGTGAAGGGAAACAGGAGGCCTCAGTTCAGCAACCAATTACTGCAAGAAACTCCATTACTCTAGAGAAGTACTGACTGCATGTCTACAGTGGGATCTTAACACAACCACTGGCTTCTACTATGCCATAGGACTTCACCTGATTTTCAGTCCAGTTCAAGAAAACTTTGTCTTTATTTAATATATCCAGGGAAACTGCAGTTTCAGTGAAACTGAAGCTCCTGCTTCAAATTCACCGGGGCAAACAGGAGTTGTAGAACCTCGTCATGTAGCTTTTTGAACCACAGAGGAGCAGATACCTGAGTAGCAATGGCTTTTGCAGTTTTCCTGTTGTCCCCTGTTATGAGCACCACGTCTATTCCCATGCTCTGCAGCGTGTGCACAGCAAGGGCTGCCTCCTGCTTGACAGTGTCTGCTATTGCGATCATTCCACACAACACACCTGCACCAACAGAAACATCCTCTGTCACAGCTGTGGGAGGCAAAGTGGCACCAAGAGAACAGAGCTCCCCCTCCATCCCACTGTGGCAGCTTGTGAAATAACACATTCTGAGCAATACTGACACTCGTGTCTGCAGCTCTCTCACTGATGGTCTCTTCTTCTTATCATCTGCCTGTTTCAGATCAAACAATAAACACCTTTGATATTTAGGGATCAGGAAGATGAGGAGAAGAATAGCTTTTAAACCAGGCCTGACTTCTATGTTTTATGGTATGGACAAATATGATAGTGGGTCAGAGAAAGTGCTGGTATTTGTGTCCAGGTCAGATGTTAAAGCCACTCATCCAAGAGGAAGCATACAGAGTCTGGTTTTATGTCCCCTAGTCTTTCAGGGTTGGATCTCTACTAGAATTAATTATTTTCTAATTGAGAAGTCTTGCATCTGCCTTCCAGTACATTGGCTCAAAGGTGCATCCATACTTCCTTCACAAGCAAATGCTTTTCAAAATTGCTCTCTAGGAGCACCAAGAATATTTGTTCAGTAAATGAATCATTGGCCTCATTTCAAGATCACAGGTGTGCTGGCAATCTATCACCATTGTAATGATTTCTCACATCAAGGCATTGTCTGGGATCCCTTTCTGCATGGTACAGAACAGAACCCCACTGGCAAAACTAATTTAGTCTAAGCTATGATACTTGACTGATCTAATGAATCATTATGTTTATTCATGCATGTTTATTTATGCATGTTTTGAAAGCAGTGATGTGATAGGTTGGTCCATGATTCTTAATTGATGTAAATTAAGGATTGGACACGGCACCATATTGTCACTGCTTGTTTGAACAATGATCCTAGACAACAGGGGGTTCAGAAATTAATTCTTAAATGAAGACCTACAAAACAAAACCTTATAAACACTGTTGTGGATTAAATCTTCTTTTAAGAACACCTGGATACCTCACAGTTCATAAGCAGTTCTGCACTAAAAGATTAGTAGTTTCTTGACACTAAGCCAGTGATCAACTGCTTCAGATTTTTTCCATCCATTCTGCAGTAGGATTGACTCATATTTGTTAAGTCAGTCAAAGGAAGAGCAGTTACCATCTATAGCCACTAGTATGGCAGTCTGTCCTTTCATTTCATGGTTTGTCATTGCATCATTTACATCATTTGCAATATTCAAGCCATTGCGTCGCATCCACTCACGATTTCCGATCAACACCGAGTATTTCCGAGAAGCTGATGGACCTTTGTGCACAGACAAAAAGAAAAATGAGCATCTCAAAAGCAGGGTACACAAGCAGAGATATTTGAGGAGGACAAGTTAGGCCTGAAGATAGCCTGATAAAAGTTTTCTCTTTCAAGACTCAGTCTGTGCCTCTTTACACACAAAACTGCGTCATGGACTTAATGGAAGCATTTGCTCGTGTTTGCCTTTGTCAGCTGGCATTGTTTCTCTGAATAAGCACAGTGCACACATTTAGTTAATGCCATCCTTCTTTGTTCTCACAACTAATGACTTTCAAATATAAAAGCTATTTCTGCCAAGAAAAAAGTAGTGTAGTTCTAACAAACAATGCACCTCATTATGAATCCAATCCAACTTAACAAGAACCATACAAGCAGGTGAGAAAAGATTACATTAGCACCATTCACAAATGGCACAGTTCTGATGATTGAAGTTCTCATTCTATTTAATTCTTCTAATAGCTTTCTCAAAAAGGTCAAGAGCACCACAGCCTTCTGAAGAGAACTGATGAGCTCCTTACAGAAGGCTTTAAATACCTTTTCTTTCTCTCCCACACTACAAAATAGTGAAGTGGCATCCAGAGAGTCTGAAACAAACCTAAATTTATTGGCCTAATCAAAAATATAAGGCACTAAGATAAGTTTTCAGATACAGCACACTTTTTTTTTGCATCTGCTGAATAGGTTTGAGGTTTTTGGTTTTTTTTTTTTAATTAAGTGCCTTGAGAGGTATATGAACAGGAAACAAAAGGTCCAAGTTAATATGGAACTAAAGGGTAGGATGTAAAAAGTTGCAGTAAGATAATATATGTTAAAGGTAACTGTTCTAAATGGGAAGATAATGCAAACTTTGCTGTTTGCTGGACCATTCTTCTGTCCAAAAGGAACATTGCTGGTTATGTCTCATTGTCTATGTATTGGGTGGAATTTTCAAGTACCCATCACTGTATCTAATTCTCCTTTAAGTTTCTGAATTGCAAAGAGAGATCAAGAGTTGTGGAGAGAGCTTCAATTTTTGTTAAGGTACATTTTTGTCCCTCCTGTTCTTTGCGTTCTTCTGCCCCATATCTACCTTTCTCTTGCACATAGCCTGTTGGGTGGTTGGTGCTGTTGGTTCATTCTCCCTCACACTGCAGCTGGCACAGGAGCGGCACAGGGCAGATAATCACCTACCTTGTGATTCCAAGGGTGTGATAACTCCATTATCTCCCAGAGAAGCACTGTTGTCCCCACTCCTGCTGGCATCCAGCTTATTGGGACCTTCCTCAGCTGTGCCAAGGATGGCCTCAACTCCTCCGACCTTGCAGCTGATACCACAGCCTGGGACTGCCTGGAAGTCGGTGCAGTATCCCAGGCTCTCAGTGCCAAGCTCCTGAAGATGTAACCAGAGGCCATCATCAATCTGTGCTGCCCACGTGGGGTACAAATATTAGATAACTCTTGACAAAAAGAGGCCTCATTCCTCCTCTTGACAATGACTGACCAACTGAAAACTAGCCTGGAGTATCAGTAGCACAGAACTAAAATAAGGATGCTCTGGGTGTGCTGTGGCTTAGACTTCTGATTGCTGTATTGCTGAAAGGGGCAGCAATACAGATCACAGCCAGGTCTCAGCCCTAGCAACAGCAAACCATAAGGAACAGCTTTTTCTGGTAGCTCAAGGGTGAAAAAATTAGATTGGTGGTTCATGACTTCACCCAAGATAAGGAACGAAAAAAAAAATTTCAATATTAAGAGACTCAGCTGACAAATGATGCAACTTCTAATTAACCTCACAGACAGGCTGTGGTGGATCAGACCTTTTTGTACATATGTAGGAGTACAGTGAAAAATTGTATCTAATCTCTGGAGGGATCTGTATGGATGTTAGGGAAACTGGGTTTTTCTGTTGAGTTAGGGAGAGAAGTGAGTGAGTACCTTCAAGATGAGATAAAGGGATCATCATGACAAGTTACCAACAAAAATTTTGAGAAAATATTAATCTGTAAACAAGTTATTCTGGGTTGTCTCTGGAAGTTGGAACTATATGTACCTCTCAGTGATCTTAAAACACAGGGATGAATAGGCAGGAGGTAAGAACATCAGCCAACACTATAGCATTACAATACATATAAGCCATGATCCAGTAATAACTGCTGCATGGGATGACTACAGAACTGTCAGTACTATAAAAATTTTAAATTAAAAATGTAAAATACAAGAAAGGCAATTGGTTTGTTGCTTATATTCTCTTTTTCCTTCTAAATTTGTGGTTTTACTTCTAAATTTTGTCACTGAAAGATCTAGCAAATTTGATCTATTTTTAAACTATTTTTTTCTTAAATCAATTAATGGTTTTTCTTAGCAGACATAAATTGTTTATTTACATAGGTTTCCTATTTTCACTGTGACTTGTGTTTTACTTCTCCCTGAAGCTTGAGGAACACATGACATATTACCTCTGAGAATATGTAGAATTTGCAACACTTGAGTAATTGATCAATGCATTTGTGGAACTCACAGATATTACAGTTTAATATTCAAGCTTTAAAACTTTTTGCCTAATTTATTCAGATGAGCAAGTGACTAATAGAAGTGACTACAGTCAGATAATATGAAATGTCATCACACACATTTTACTTCATGGTGTTATTTTAAGCATAAGTATTCCTCCTGCATATATTCCTTATTGTCACATTAGTTCAAGATAAACTTAGCAAGATCTTCCTTCAGAACTCCACACTGTTACCAGAAAAGCACAGCTTAGATAAATACACTGGTAACATCCAGACCAAGATGTACAACCATGCAATCTCCCAGCTTTCCAGTCTGTTACTGTTTAGGCAGGCGTTTTCCTCTGGGATCTGATCATTTTATACAACATTGTTTCATTTTCACAGATGCCTTCAGGCCCTGGATGAAATAGGAAGGCTAAGTACCTCTTTGCAGTATTTAGTGACAGCCATTCCTAAAGGATGCTCGCTGCTGGCTTCTGCTGTACCAACAACAGCCAGTACCTTCTTCAGGGGCAGCACAGCTGCGTCTCCCATCAACAGCACCCTCATTACTTTAGGAACTCCATAGGTGATGGTCCCAGTTTTATCAAACATCACAGTCTTGATCTGCAAGAAAACAACAGTTACTGCCTAAGCCCTGCAAGCACAGGGATACTTGTATGTTTATGGCACATAAATACAGTCAAGACTTTAATAAGCAGTTGACTATATCCACACAAAGACAGAATAAATCTACAAAAGCAGGGATTCCTCTAGGTACCTTGAATTATCTGTACAGCAGGTTTCCTTATACTTTCTTATTAATTCCTCATAAAGCTTCAAGATCATCCTGTGCACATATCAGGATCCCAGACAACAGTATAATTGTAGGACTGAGATGCATACACAAAGGACAGAACACGCATTCACAGGCAGGAGTCATGTACTGGCACCTTAATCACCTTTACCACAAGGTCTGTGATGCAAAGAGGGCTTTTTTGAATGCAGTTCTAAACAACTAACAATAGCACTGAGGAAAGAGGACTCAGGAAGTGGTTTGGTCATAGAGGAGATGTAAAGGGTGCAAGAAGTTCAAGAAACAATAACCTAAGCAAAATCAATGTCATGCTATTCACCAAATTCAGCCATCACTTGTCAGCAAGGCCAATGGGTCTTGAGGAATCAGAAATGAACAAAAAACACAGCCCCACATATACTGGAACCCAAATATAAAGTCAATTCTAATCCTGAAAATAAACACAGCAGAAAGAAACACAAACCCCACAAACTCAGCAAAGTAGGCACTTATTCCACATCCAGCTATTCCAACACACCAACCTTGCAGAATCACACAGGTCAGCTAATTTTCAAAGCCCTGACCATAGCCTTGCTTGGATCCAAAAGGTAAAAACTTCCAGCATTAATTAGCAGTCTTTTTTATTTTTTCCAGAGCCTCGGAAAAACTTCTGGTCAAGTAATAACAAGAATTATCAGTCTGGTTAACTTGCTGTTACCATCCTCCTCCCTTGAAATGTTCTGCATATGTCTAATACAGCCTATCACAGCATGGTTATGATTCATTTTCTTTTCAGTGGCTATGGACATGTCAAACCTCTTTCTCATTCAACCTCTTCCTCCTCTTTGCATAATTTTTGTGTCTTTGAAGGTTTTTTCCTGCCTCCCTTCTGTTTTTCTGGTCTATACACTAAAACAACTTCAAATAATTTTTTTCCTTGCATTTGACATTTTAAACTACTGATCATGAACAATATGCATTTCACAACAGGCCTCAGAAGAAAGAAAAAACTTCAGTGGATTACTGGCTCTTTTGCAGAAGAGGATTAGCACAGAGAGGATTGCCATGAAGAGGATTAGCAACCTCACAGTCGTGAGATTGTAAGGTATGTTGGCTCTCAACACTTTGCTGTGACTACTTTGAAGAAGGTTTGATTTACCTTCTTAACCTTAATGAGCAGCAATCAATTAAAGGAAAAAAAAAAAAAAAGAAAAAAAAAGGAACAAATTTCCATCGTCTTTCTTTGGTCATGCAGGATTTCCTGGGGAATTATATTACATATAGCAATAGTTGGGTAAGCTACAAAAGTACAGAATGAACTATTAACCTGATGTGCCATTTCCAGGGGTTTTCCACCTTTGATGAGAATACCATTCTGCGCAGCCACTCCTGTGCCCACCATTACAGCTGTGGGGGTAGCCAGGCCTAAAGAGCAAGGGCATGCAATGCTCAGCACAGTGATTGAGGTTTGAAATGCAAACCTCAGTATTATTTCAGCTTTTGAAATGTTTTTGCTCTGATTCTGCAAGAAGAGGGAAGAGAAGGGGGGAAAAAAATAAAGATATGTAAGATTGCCAACAGCAGATAACACAGGTGTACAATCAATCAAAGTCGTTTCAGAAAACACATTTATCTGGAAAACTTCAGTACAGGAAATCAATCTATTATTGTTACTGTAATGCTAAAGAAAGGTCAATGTTATGAATTGTTTATGGCAGTGTTTTCTGGATTTTTTGCTGCTCAAGCATACAAATGTTTGTTTCTGCTCTGAGTCTCCCAGACGTCAACATAACTTGTTGGAATTTCCTTTAAAGCTTAGCAAAGGAGAACACTATTTCCAGATACAGAGATCCCCCCAGTTGATGAGCACAGCAAATACACATCCTCTTTCTCAAGCCAAAATCACTATCTGCCATCAGAAACAGGAATGCCCACAAAAAAATCAGACATAAGAGGAATGGCTCAGCTCCTTGCAACGCAGCTATAGATCATGTTTAGTCCAAAAATGCTGTCAATAATTTCCATTTTTAAGAACCCCATGCAGAACTAAGGGATAAATGCAAAAGTATATTTATGCCTGCAGAGAGATTTTAAATAGCATAATTATCTGCTCTGTGCAGAAAATACCATGTTTCACAGAAGTAATTACAGAATATTCTGGGTTGGAAGGGACTCACAAGGATCATCAAGTCCAGCTCTTAAAGAAAAAGGCCCATACAAGGATTGAAGACACAACCTTTGTGTGTCAATTGGTTATTACCTAACCAATTGAGCTCCTCTCTGGGTGATTATAACATCAAAACTTATATAGAAAAGGTATGTTAATTAGATTGGAAGACATCCCAACACAAAAATCCAGTTGTAATAATAAAACTACTTACAGGAAAATATTTTTTAATAATATCAAAATTTACAAAACCAATTGTGATCCATACTATCAATGTCACAGTTGATATGATGATGATAAATGGAACAAAGTATCCACTAAATTTATCTGCCAGTTGCTGGATGGGTGCCTATAAAAAATAAACCCAGTTATTTGCATGTTCATGGTTGAAACACATAAATATGCAGAGTTCATGAAAATACACAATAGTTCTGGAAAAACACAGTTTGCTGAAGTGTGTAAGTATCAAAACATAAAATCTTTTTATTATACAATCAAAATCGGTGAAAAAAGTTTTCTTCTCCATTATTTTTACCTTTGACATTTGAGCTTCTTCCACCAATTTCACAATCTGTGCCAGAGTGGTATCACTACCAACATGAGTTGCATTAACAAGAAGTGACCCATATGCATTTATAGAACCAGCAATCACTGTGCTCCCAGGCTTTTTAATGACTGGCATAGGCTCCCCTGGAAAGAAAAGGTAAGAATAAATGAGCCAATACCCCTAACAGCATAATCCACTAGCACACAGCTCATTCAATGATAGCAAAATCAGTAGGCTAAGCAATAATGACCAGAAATCACATACTGGGTATCTCTGTCTGGTGAAGACATGGATAGATAGCATTATATTTTTATAAACCTTTTTATAGGAATAATTTCAAAGCAAATGCTGTTTCCTTGGTTGTAACTTTTCAGCAAACCATCCCTCAAAAGGGCAAGGAGCAAATTGGTAGGAAAAGGTACTTCTAGGAATTTCTCCATTAACACCTGGCATAGCAATGGGAGTTTGAGAAATCTGTCTTTATCTCCATGACCCTGAGTTTTCAAAGACCAGAAAGTTTTTCTGTGGAAAAGCTCCTGTTCTCCTGCTACTTCTGCATGAATACTAGCTCTAGAACATCTTTATTTTCTCTGTTTTTAGTGGTAGCAATAACAACTGGTTCCCTGAAGCTAAAGGTGTCCCTGTTTCCAAGTAAAAACAGAACTAGCACAAATAATCCAATGCCAAAGCAAATTTTTATACATTTTACTTTATTTATAAGAATTGTAAAATGCATTGAATCCTTACTATATTTACAAAATGAAATTAAAATTACAGAAGATGTAAAATGTCCTGTGATCCTTAATAAACTTCAAATTTTGAGGCTTTCTTTCCCCCTCCTTGCTCAGTGAGAGAGCCCTGTCATGCAACTCCAGCATCTCATCAATATTTCCACATCATCCTTTAGAACTTATTTCTGAGAAGGTACCATCTCTACAAATACATTCCAGGGGAAACTCCAGCCAGATCACTGGAATAATGGCAATACTGTTATGACTCTATCCATCCCATCAGTAGGTTAGTAAGTGGCCAGACTGAGAGGAAAACCTTCTGTTTTTTAAGGTGTGCACAGATGCAGGATTTAAATTCAAGCTTACAAAGCCACAGCATCCATTAAGGTGGGCGGCTGTTGAGACAGCAGTGTTTGGGTTGGGTCTGCTCTCTTTTCTTGTAATAAAGAGCTCCAGAAGATTTAACTTCTTTGTGTAAGATAAGGGAAGTTACCAGTAATGAGAGACTCATCTGCCATAGAACTGCCGTCAATGACCTTTCCATCCACTGGGAACTTTCCACCAGGAACGACTTTTATAATATCACCCCTTTGAACCAGTTCAACAGGTACTTGTTCCTCCCTGCAAAAGACACATGTAGAACAGGCAGGTTACTTATGTTATCAGCTTTCAGGTTAACTGGATCAAGCCTAGTTTGTGACCCAAGCAGGCTGAAGAGATTTTGATGCATAAATACATACCTAACAATAGAGTGGCCAGGTCCAAGAGTCACCACAGTGGCTTCTGTGGCTTGAAGAGACATAAGCTTAGCAAGAGCTTCTGAGGTCTTACCCTAAAAAACAGAGACTAACGCTTAAGATACATTGAGATATATAAATGCTGATATGTACTTAACACAATGAACTCTAAACAACCTTTCGTATTATAGACTACACCAGAAACAGCTGACTCAAAATTCCTCTGAATAGTTTATTCTGTTCCTGTCATAAATACACAACATTTGTGTGAAGATGAGTTACCTTGGCTATGTGCTCCAGCCATCTGCCGAGCGCAATGAACACAAACAACATCGGAGGAGTGTCGAAGAAAGTGACAGGGCTTTTCTCTGCCTTTTCAATGACTGCTACTATCAGGATCACGCAGGAATACACATAAGCAATGGTCGTGGCCAGTACGATGAGCACGTCCATATTGGCTGTCTTGTGCCTCAGGGACTTGTAAGCTTGTACATAAAAATACCATCCACCAAGGAACTGTTGGTGTGAGCAGGACAGACTCATATTGAGATCACAGAGTACATAATACTGCCCAGAGCAGAATTAAAACCATGCAGGACATAAGGGAAGGCACTGCTGGCCCAAGGAAATTTGATAGTGATATAACTTCAGATCTACTAGGAGACTGACTCCATTGACATTCTCTCATTTGCACTTCCTTTTTCTCAAAACCAACAAATATCATATTTTTCCTCAACAATGCAAAGTACACAAGGCATAGAAAATGAAAGGATTTACCTACAGCTACCCAATTTGTTTGTAGATGATTAGGTATCTCTTTATTTTAATATTACCTTCTCCACTTGGAAACTATCTGATGCAACTTTGGCAGGAGTAAGAGCTATGAGTAAAAACAGAAAGGATAACTTGCAGAAAAATGCCACTTTGTTCTGCTTAGGTGGTACAGACAAGAGGGCAGGCCTAATCCACTCAATCTTTCAATGTCTGTCTTTATCGCATCATATTACATAAATGGGACATGAATACAAAGCAAACCCCTAGGAAGTAGTATGGACATACCTGAACAAAAGTGCACAGGATGAAAAAGAGAAGATTCAAAATAGATAATCCAGGAATGAGGTTCTGTTCCAGCACCTTAGACCCATGGCCTTCACCACTGGGTATTTGCATATAAATCATTATAACTACAACTGGGATACCAAACACTAGGCTGTACAAGAAAGATTTCCTCCACCTGAAAAAGAAAAACTGTAAATCCATGGGTTTTTTACACCTCACTCAGGCCCAACTGTGCTGGTAGTGCAGGACTGGGGTTATTAGCACTGTACTAACACATAGCATTGGGATATTTGCAAAGATCCAGTATTTTGGAACAACTTCAGTGTCTGCAACATGTTTAACTGTATAGACTTCTGGCAGTTAAAAACTAAAACTAATGAAAGTAATAAAAGTACTTGAATGAAATGGCGAATGGTAAAATTAAATACGCTTTACACAAGAATAATCTAATTAACTGGGAAGAGTGCTGGGGGGAGTAGAGTTACAAGATATGATCTAGACATGTTCTTTAGTGAGAGAGAAAAGAAATACTTACTGCTGTATTTCCTTTTTATGACTCAGGTTATGTGCATTGGGAGCTCTTTTAGCCACAGAAGCATGAAAGCCAATTTCCTTTTTATTGAAACGGAAGTAAAGATAAGTTAGTTTTGATTTAGGTAATCATATTACTCACAACACATTTAAATTACACTACTTTTAGAAGAAATGTCAGAAAGGGACACTGTTCTGTGTTTAATAAATTCCAACCCCTTATTTACTTTTAGATTCTGCCAAAATGAGAGGATATTTCAGTCAGTAATCAAAATTTGGACTCCAAAGGACTTCTGGTACCTATACATGAACACAGTGTATAGATGCAGTGTGTCCAAGTTCTCCCCATGTCTTAGGCATGGGGAGCTTCCACTGAGAGCTGGAATTCTACTGCACTCCTCCTTAAGGAAAATATATGCCCTTTCACCCCCACCGGAATAATCAGGAGATATGAGACATACCACAAAGGAAGTTTAAAAGCACAAGCCACTGGGAGCTTGACAACCTTGTGAGCAAGTCCCTAACACTGCAGTTTAATAAACACACCTGAAGTTGAAAATTAAAGTGTTAGTTAGTTTAATCCCGTAGGACAACAGACTGCAGGGCAAAGCAGCCCAGAAACAAAAACAAACAAGCTTTGAGTCACTTGGGTGAGTTACTGCAGTTGAATCATGTCTCCTGCCCAAACACCCTAAAAACCCAAAGCACACTTGCAAGAGCAATACACTTAAACTTCCTACCTGCATCATGACATGCTTCTGTGCAAAGTGTGCTTTAGAGAACCACTCTGCCAGCCTGAACAGTCTACTAGTTAACATGCTAATAACTGCTGCTGCATCATTTCTGTGGTCTAGCAGCTCTTTTCTGAATAAATATTCTAGAGCACGGAAGGCAAACAGTCTCTGCTGTCCTCCTGACTATTCACTGCATGCACCTCATATAGTATCACCTCTTCCCTTCTGGTGGGACAAAAAAGAAAAAGGTTTTGTCCACATCTGGGCTATCATAACAGTAGATTTTATGATCTGTGTGATTACTGGTAAACCAGGATTTTTTCATTTAATATCAGGCTGTTTCCATTCAAAAAGATGTAGGGATAGATGCAAGTACAGAGATATCTAATGCTTGTGGCATGAGCTGTGGCAAAACTTCCTTTACAGCCTTTGTCACTGTCAAGAGAAAGAAGTACTTTTTTCTGAATTAGCAACACTTCACTGAAATGACTGTGATTTTACACACAGAATTCCAAGAAATGAATACATGACATTTTTGACAGGTAAAGATATAAAAGGTTTATTTTGAAGTGTTTAGTGTGTGTTTTTAGAGTGTGTTTTTAGGCTGGGGAGCCTGTGCATTCCTGTGGAGCACAGCAGCCTCACCACAAGAGCATTAGAACATGGCAATAACTATGGCATCTACAAAATCAGTGAAACCTCTCAAATATCAGCTGCTTTATTTCCTTCTAAATTGCAACATGTAATTGTCCGTACATAAATAATTTCCAGAGCCTACCTTGATTACTTTTATAATATCTCGAGGTCCAATAATTTCAGGATCAAACAGGATGTGAGCTTTGCTAGTTGCAAGTGCAACTGAGGCAGAGAATATGCCATTTGTTCTCATGAGTTTGGATTCAATATTATGAACACAAGAAGCACAAGTCATCCCTATAATCTAAAGAAAAGACAATTTTGGGTAGTTAGCAATCCCCCACATTCACCCAGTATTTGTGGGTGTACTTGAGACAAGGCCTCAGTGTAAAGGTTTTATAGAGCTGTCTTAAATGATACAGAGCTGAGAACATAACTATCCACTTTCATTATAAAATTGTGCAGAGAGCAGATATAGTCACAGCCATGTATTTGCATGGCAGCACTCAGACATGCTATTAACTGTAAAAGTGTAACTAATATGGTTCTATCAACACCTATATTCACATTGCCAAAGCCAAACTCTGCATGTGTAACTTCATCTCTCTTAAATTTTCCTGTGGCTTCAATAAGGCATGTTAACACTTTGTGATCTATTAACACAGCAGCAGATTGATGTTCTCTGTCTTGCAGTAAATATCTGTCAGAGAATAAAAATTAATTTTTGAGGAATCCATCCTTCAAAAAGCAATTTACTAATTTTACTGATTTTATCCCAAGTTCCTAGACTTCTATGCAAAGCCCTTAACATTAGCAATATGTATTTGTTGACAAACTCTCAGTTACTCAGAGTCTGTACTAAAGTGTCTTAATGGAAAACTTCTGTTTCATTTGTGCTTGCTAAGAAAAGTCTAATCGGTACATAGAACTGTCATTTTTTTATTTCAGTGCTTTTGGATCTGTTCTAAGACAAGTTGATTTTGTCTTTTCAGCAATTATAAAAAAAATAGTGTCACCAGCCAGAACTGAGCTGCTGAAGCTACAACTACTCAAGCTAAGCTATTTGCAAGAAAATCAGTCTTCCAGACCCGACTTTTCCAAAACAAACATGTAATTTCAAATACATATGACTTACAAGAAGCTCCACTTGCCCTTCTGTTTCATCATTATTTTCCATTATGGTAGCTTCAAAACCCAAATTCTGGATCAGCTGTGCTATTTCAAGAGGTTGTATGAGTTCCGGCTTGTATTTTATCTCTGCTTTACCTGCCATCAGTGCTACCAACACTGAAACAATTCCTGCAGTGGCAATAACAAAAATATTAGATAATGTAGCTCCTTTAAGGGAAAGAAAAATAAAATATTACAAGTGATTGTCAGTGAGGACAGTAACACTTCAGAGATATTTTAAGCCTGACGATTTCTCTCTGCCTCCTTCTAGTGTTGTTCCCTAGTCACAACAGCAATGTTTTTACAGAGACCCAGCCACACTGAGTCTCCCTTTAGCAATGAGAGGAATTTCAAGATTTACACAGGGAAGGAGGTGTGTTTTGCTGTGATCTAATGAGAGAAAAAGGATGTTTGTAAGCAACCGTCAAATCCACTGCTGCAAGATCTACCCTAAACTCGTAGTTTGGAATGAACCCCACAGCACAATGCTATACCTTTGTATTTTTCTGTTCTCCACCCCTCCTTATTTTTTTAATAAATAAAAAGCCTGCAGAAGTCTACATTTAGAATTGAAAATCAAAACATAAAGAACACAAGGCAAAAAAAAATTGGTTTGAAGAGCTAATGCTTGTTTTGATTTCTAAATCAAGGCAGTGAGACCACCACTGGGAGACTGGGGAGAGAGCAAGCAATAAGCACAACCTTCCAAAGGCATGCTGACACAAATGAAACCAGACATTGCTAGGGCTCATCTGTTAATCTTCTACATGGCCAGAGGAAAGGCAGCCCCAGCCTGCAGACTTCTAGACCAATAAACAGCACTGTGCCTAAGCTTACCCTGGCAGTGGAGCCATACATTTGTTTGCACCTGCTTGTGCAAATATGCCTGAGCATGCCCGAGCTCTCAACGGCTCTGGAGGAGATGGATTGCTTCGTAAACCAACAAGGCCCTGAAAACTAAATGACAACCGTTTCTCTGTTCTTGTCTTCAGAGTTATTTGAATTTTTTATCACTTTACAACCTGCTACAAGTGTGTTCATCATGTTTGCCCACCAGTGCAATAGGATAGTTAAACAGTGACATAGTTACATTAGCACTAAGACAGAGCACTAAGTCTATTTAACTTCCAGATGTTGTATGACAGCCTCTTCTATCAATCTCATAGAACATCTTTTCCATCCCATCATCCCTTATCATTAGACTCATTACAGGAAGCTTAAATTTATTACCGTCTTCTTTCTGCAGATTTCTTTCAATGGTAGACACACACGATGCACAGGTCATGCCTGTGATTTGTAAAACACACTTTTCTTCTGTGGCTCCACTGAGCTGGTTTGACCCATCAGGGTGAGGACTGACCGGAAGAGCATCTGAGGAACTGCCTTGGTGAGGAGGCTCTGGAGCTCGAGGCTGCACAGCAGCTTTGCTGGCATCAGGCTGGCACCTTTGTTCTCCAGTGGCGGTATCTTGAATAAATGCACAATACACTGAACTATTTACAGTGGGACTGGATGACCCAAAAGTACAAACAAGTCACATTTATCAACCACACAAACATTCACAGTTGTTTAGAAGGTGACACAATAACCTTGGTCTCTATATGGAAATAATATAAGTTGTTACTATGCTTGTGAAAATATATATTCACCTGTGCCACTTCCATGACCATCTAACTCTACAAAACTAGCTTTCCACATTCAGATGGCAAATGATTCCCTCCAATTTCAATGCCCAGAGCTGTCAGCTACCTCCGCTTGATAAAGATACATTGGTATCTAGAGGGTCCTTATCCAGCACAGAGAAAGTAGTCCAGTCATACCCATTCTGCCATTGTTGCCATCTATGCAGGACTCATATTACTTCATCTCAAACAAGGAAAACAACAAGTTTCTCAACAGGTTTCCCTTCATGGCACAGTATTCACACTGCAAGTACTGCAAAATGAGTATTGGAAGCACCCCAGAGACCTGAACGCAAACAGGCCTCTTGCAAACATTTTTATTCTTTGCCAGATATTGAACAGACACGCAACAGTTCCAGGTGTGTTCACAAACTACCTCCCTTGGGCAGAGGTTTGTGTAAAGGAGCAGGAGTTGCTTCAGAACATCTAAAACACAGGGGGGTCCCTCCTTTTCCAGATGGAGTGGAAGCTCTCCTACCAACAAATTACAAGCCAAGCAAATTATAATTAAACAACACACACAGGCTCCTCCTCATTTGTAGTAGTACCACAGATTCAGAGGGATTGGACCCATGAGAGAAGGGAATAAGATGTGGTTTTTTGTGATCAAACTACTTAATTTCAGGCAAACTACATCAGTATTTCAAAGCAAATATGTTTAGTTGAAGCAGGTAAAAATTGCCACATTTGAAATTTGTGAGAGAGGAGTTTGTGCATCAAAACAACCTTTTAAACATTCAGCATATGTACAAAATGCATGCACTGATGCAACTGACATGTAAAAGCAGCTGTTCCCAACAAAGAGTACTTGCATTTTGCCACTTAAAGCAAGGTTTAGTGAAGTAAGGCAGGTAAAAATACTCAAGAAATAATGGTCAAAGGCTAAAGACACTAAAAAGAGGTTTTAGCTAGGTAAAAAGTGGTTTTAAATGAAAAGTACTCCATTAAGTTTGTAAGTTTTAGTATTCCAGAACATAAATGTAAACACCTGAGTTGACAGATCTACTTACAGCAGCCTGCAGACATAGGAGGAAACCTGCTTCAGAGGGCAAGGGGATGAGCTATTTGAAATGCTTTGTACCTCAGACCTTTTGGCTTCATAATGTAACTCAGCTCTTGCGCTCACTGCTGCAGTTGTTAAGGGCTGAAACAAGGTGCTTTACAGCTGAAACCTCTCTCCCTTGCTAAGTGAGGTTGGGTCAGGCCAGGCATTCAGAACAGACCATGTCAACGTGATGCTTTAAGAGTTTCTCTCCAGAAAGGAATCTCAATGCAGACCTTGCATGACCCACCTTGGCATGCTACCCACAGAAGAGAAAACACTGTTACCTGTCAGCACAGAGGCATCAAATCCCATGTCTTCTATGGCAGCTCTTAACTCTTCTCCACTAGTGACAGCTGGATCATAGTGTATGGTCCCAGTACTGCCAGCTAAAGAAACTGCTATGTGCTGCACTCCTTGCCTCTGTGATATGGCCCCTTCTATGGACTGTACACAAGAATTGCAGGTCATGCCATCAATCTTAATAACAGCCGTATGTGTCGTGCCTTGTGGTGGCTGTCTGACGACACTGTATGTGAAAGCACCTGAGGGAGATGCTGCTTTATTTGCTTCTGAACTACTAAGGAGGCTTACTTTAAAGTTTCCAGGTGGAAGGGATTCCATAGCTTGCTGCAAAGCTGACAGGGTGATTAAATCTGGGCTATACTGTACCACAGCACGTTTATGCTCCAAAGACACTTTAATACTTTTTATGCCAGGAAGATCTGACATATTTCCTTCGATGTTTCTGACACAGGACTTGCAGTGCATGCCCTCTATCTCTAGAGTCACTGTTGCTGTGCTACCCATCTCAGGGACCAGCAGATCCAGCCCATCACTCTCGAGACTTGCCGGTGTCTCCCTGGGGTTTGCATTCTGCAAGCGCTGGAGATCAAGGGCACCCAGCTTCAAAGGGGCTGATTTACTTTTAATGGTGCAGTCATACCCCAGGTCACTGATGTGTCTCTTGAGGTCATCAGGCTGAATGATGTAAGGATGGTAAGCAATAATTGCTTCTTGGTTATCAAGTGACACCTTGATTTTTGCTACACCGTGCAGTTTCTTAATCTTTCCTTCAATGTTGGTGACACAGGACTGGCATGTCATGCCTTCCACCCGAAGCTTAGCTACTGCTTCTTTCAAGCTTGGCAAATTTACAGTTGCTGTTGTCAACTTCTCTTCTGCTATGTTGGCATCAAAGCCCATATCCAGAATTTCCCGGCAAATCTGTTCAGGGCTTATTTCCGACTGCAGATACTTGATAACAGCATTGTTCTGTTCAAGGGAGACTTTAATTCTCAAAATGCCCTTCACCTTGGAAATTCGGCCTTCTATCGACTGCACACAGGATTGGCAGGTCATTCCCACAATGTTGACTACCACAGTGTGCTCTTGGGAAGGTGGAGAGGGCATGGTTTCAGAGCTTGCCTCATAGCCCATGTTGACAAAAGCAAAATTATGTTTCATTGTAGGCTTCAGCTCACAACCAGGAGGAGAATCGATGTTGGACAAAGCCTAAGGAGAAAGTGGAAAAGTGAAAATGAATGCATGTATCCTTAGCCCTGTAAAAGCAACAACAGTCTTCATATGCTCTCAAGCACATACTAGAAGTGCTCTCAAGTTAGTCTATGTGGCCAAAACCCTTTCCAACATTATTTTACACTTGGAATATATTACCAGTGAGTTATGCCCATGATGATGAATCAGGCCTCTGACAGTCTCTTGAGCAGCAATTTAGGAAATACTGACTAGGGATATAAAAGCAGAATTGACTCAATATTCCTACCCCAACCAAGTAATTTAAAATTTGAGTTCTCTGCAGCCACAGGACACTTCCATCACACAGCCTGAGCTGCTCTTCCAGAGCACACTGGCACTGGCACAGTGGGTCACAGTCGAGAGTGTGCTGAGGGCCTCTCCAAAAAGGTCATAAACTGGCCCAGTTTTGCCAACCTGCTACTTCCCAGGAGGGGTTCAAACCAAACCAAAGAAAACCAAAAAGCCCAAGAAAACAGAGTCGTGACTTTCCCAGAAGCCTGAAACAAGTTGGTGCAGGGAGGGTCAGCTGCATGATATTTGAAGAGCTATTTGCACACACACAAAGGCCTGGGATCTGCATTTAATACGTAATCCTTTTTACTTGAAATCTGTATCTAACAAAGACCTTGAAAGACACAGAACTGTAAGCCAATATTTTCACAATGGTTTCATTTTATTTACCTTCTTGTGAGGCACCTAAGACTATAAATTGTGCTACAGTAAGTCACTGATTTGATCCAACACTGATTTTCAGGATGGCCAGTACTGAAATAGTTCACTTGTGGCTGGCCTATCTCTCAGTCAGATCACAGCCTCTGCAATACTGGAACTCTACAGCTGAATGCACTCAATTCAACTGAAAATGAATTTTTGTTTTTTTTTAAAGAGTGCCAATGCTTCTTACAGAACAAGTACTGAGAGCTCCAGTTACTGGGGCCATGAGATGAGAAAGAATGAATAGGGCAGGGACAAGTCCTAGAGTGTCAGATTTCATGGAAAGAACATGAAAATTCATGTCCATGATTTAAGGCAACTTTAAATATTAGAGATTTAGATTAAAGCTAGGATATTCTATTATCTTGCCTGCAAAGCCTTGGGCTCTCTGACATTCAATAAAACACCTGATGCTGGGGATTACTGCAGAGAGAGCCTGGAGAAGGGCCCACTGGATCAGGCTCAGTACGGCAGATCCTGTTCCTATGACCCAAAGAAAACTTATTTCTCAATACCACAGCATGGATGAGAAGCATTTAGGCTGCTTAGTAACACTAGACTGCATCCACTTCATTTGACGCAGTATTCAAAATTCATTAACTTGATTTTGTTTCACGCTTAGACAGCTTGGGAATAATGAGGTCTGGGGCCACAAAACCAGCAAAAACTTAAGACAAAAAATTTGCTTTCAGACTTTTCTATACTGTATTTGTTAGAAAAGGAGGAGGAATGAGCAAGTTCAACTCTTCAAGATTATGGTGCAGCCCCTCAACTATCTTGACAGCAAACTCTCTCTCCTGCTCCCCCTCTTCTGCTTGGCCTCATGGCTGCACTCCAGGGATGCTGGGGAAGAAGAGTCAGAGGAATATTTTTGTCCTGGCATCCCCTTTTGCCTCTTCCTCCCATTGGACTGGCAGCACCCAGGACACTGCTCTCCTTGCACCTCCCCTCCCATATATTAGTGAAATCCCCAGTGTACATGGAAACGTGCCACAAGCACCTCTTTTCAAAACAAAGCATTAACAGGTAATCAGACTTCCCTGTGAAGGTGGTGCCCTGTTTAAACACCACACAAAGAGAACCAGGACATCCCCATTCTTGTGTCCTCCTATTTTTGTGACTTCCCACAATTTGAAATAATAACCTGGCCTTGTGTATGGGAAAAAAAAACCTTTCTGAAAACAGTCTCCCAGCCACCACATTTCACATGTGGGCTAAACTCAAACTCGCATTGATGGTAAATTCTGCCTGAAGAAGCATTAGGTGAATATTGTCTGTCATCCCCTCTTCCCTGTCCCCCAAGGACACTGCTCACAGTGGCCTGCTCTTATCAAAAACACCAGGTGCAATCTGTGTGGCAGCCACAGAAGCTCACACTGTGCATGTACTTTGGCTCACTGGACAAAGGTATTTTGCCTTCTGCAACCTTTGCTGAAACAGAGCACGAGTGGAGGAGATGAGCGTCTTCCACTCTTTGCTTCACTGCCTGTCTGGCCACCACTTGCAGATGAAACTCAGGAACCATCACAGGCCTTATGTCCTCCACTGTGTTCCCTCCCCCACCATGCTCACTGCCTCAGTATTCCAAGGTACCCTGTGACATAAAAGCAATTCAAATCTGTAAAAAGATTAGAGGGTATTCCTTGTTATCCAGTCTTTTGAAAAACATAAAAGCAAGGACTGATTTCATGACTTCAATGCATTGTAAGCCGCAGGAACTTCAAAACTTGGCCACTGCTTTTTGTTTTGCATAAAAAGCTATCCCAACAGTCAGAAGAATTGGCAAAAATATTTTGTTTGTTACTTGTCAAAACTAGATGCTTATGCTCTGTAGGAGAAAAATCCTTGCACACAAATTTTTAAATGACAAGGAAAAAATAGAGAGGGGATGTGGTCATAAGAAAACGAAAAAGTTTCTTTCCCTTAAAAAAAAACCCACACAAGTGCCAAAACATTGAAGAATCTACCCCCAAAACCAAGAAATGTGCACAGGTACAAACAAAGTATTTAAAAAGCCTTTAATATTGTTTTTAACAGCTTTAAAAAAAAAAAAAAAAAAAAAAAAAAAAAACGAAACAAACAAACAAACAAAAAAACCAGAAACAGAATAGACAGAAATACATCTATGTGTGTATTTGCAAGAAGGGTGTTTCTACACCAGACAAGAGGAAAACAGCAGATTCATGTAAGGACACAAAGATGAGGCATACAGAAATGTGTCCATAGTTTTCCTCAGGCACATGCTGGGTCTCAGAAAAGGGTTTCCTGATACCAGCTGACATCCACACATCAAATGACATCTATGAGGCTGTATGGTAATTCAGAGACACTATCTGCAAGAGGATCAGAAAAGCAATCACCACCAAAAAATCCCAAAAGGTGCTTGGGAATCTCAGGCATTGCCCCTTCTGCTATTTCCTGCCCAGAGATAAATATGAACAAAACAATGGAAATGCATCTGACTCTACATCCAGAAGGGAATGTGTGAAAGAACTGGCAATAGTTACTCTTTTGTCTCCACACCAAAGAAGAATGGCTCACTTTTCAGGGCAGGTATACACCAAGTCTGTTTGCTCTACCAGCCTCATGCATATTTTTACAGTATCTATATGAAAAATATGCAAATAATTACACATGAAATGATGCCAATTCTTTCCCTCCTTTGTTCTGCATGTAAAAGTTGGAACTGAAAGTGTACAGCAGAGCAAGTCTCTACTCTGAAAGCTAAGAAACCTGACACAAAGAAGTTATGAAGTTATATGAACAATACAAAAAAAAAAATTTTAAAAACTTGAGAAATAGTTAACAGAGAATCAGTAGTAGATGGAGACAGCTTTAAAGAAAGCACAAATACTGGCTGGAAAACACTTGCATCTACAGGAGAAGCTCTGAACCAGACCCAAGATGAGTAGCAAATGTGCAGGAGTGTGGCACCTGAAGCCCAAGTCCCAGTATGAGGATTTCAAAGCAAGAAACAAGGCATGAAGAACAACCCTTGATGTCCCACACAGGAGCTGTAGTACTCATGCCTGTCCTGGGACAAAGCAGGGCTTGGGAACAGCTGGAAGAGGCAGAGGCTCATACTCCCCTTTCAGACTGCCTCTAGCCAACAGGAAGAAGATCATCCAACAGGAATATACCCTAGGCCTGGACTAACTTTTTGTGAAAGCATGGACATGGAGCAGGGCAGGGAGAGGCTGCTGGATTGGAAGCACCAAGTCTGGAGCCCTGGTTTGGCACAGAGCTCTTGGCATCATAGCATCCAGAGTTCATGGCAGGTTCATTTGGGAAAGGCAGTCCTTGCTTATGGTCTGTATGGCTGGTGGGGCAAACCCACCCCATTGAGGGCTGCCCTTAGAGGCCTAGCACCATGCTGACCCATGGTGCCCCAAAACAGCCTCCTTCTTTTGGATATTCCCATTCAAATATGCAAAGGCAGAGAGTTCAATCAGTGAAGGGATACATAATAAATCTGAGAAAAACAACTGAACTCAGAAGAAACCCCAAAGACACAGAAACCATGGCACTGGGCAAGACCCCCACACATGCACACATGGTGCCCCATGTCTTGAGAATGGATGCAACACCATGGCTGTGAACACAACAAGGTTTGTGCCTTCCTTGGCTGTGAAGCCACCAGCCATCCCTGGTTGAGTGTGCATGCTGTCTCCATTGCTGTGTGTCATGGTCACCTCACGGGGTAGTCTGTCACCAGGAAAGCCATCCCTCTACCCGTTTCCCCTTCCCAAGAGGTGCAGCCACCTCCAAAATGCCAGTATAACACTCCTGGCCTCTGCAGCACAAGGCTGAGGTTGTGACTGGCGCACTCCGCAGCTCCCTGAGCACCACCCACACCAATATCCAGCACAGCACTGCTCCTCCAGCAAGACTCTCCCACTTTTCTGGCACTGCTCTCCTGCCCTCCTTTGCCTGGCCTGCAGGGATGGCAACTTTCACACCCTAAAACTCAAGCACTAGGCTCCTCAAAGTGATGCCAGGCAACCAGCCAGGGAGGAGATAGGGTCTGGCCCACTCAGCACCTCCCCCTCTGCCTCTCCCTGCCTGCTCATCCACAAGTGCTGGAGGTCACTGCACCTCTCATCCACTATGTCCTGAAGTTTTGGGCTGCTCTTTTCCCTGTACCTCTGTGGGCTGCAATCAGTTATTGCCCTCTTACTTTTGAGCACACAACTGCCAAAGAATTATCTTATCTGTGT